TGCCATGAGCGGAGTCTGGGGTCCCGGCTTAGGGAGTTGTGCCACACCGCAGTACGCGCTCTGCGCCCGATGTCTCTTGTCCCGGCGGTACCTCCCACCTTTCTGAAGCGTAACCGGGGAGGGGGCGGAAAGCTAAAGGAAGTTTGGGAATTATTTCTTTTCTTTAGGCTTTGAAAAGAGTTTCCCTCGCCACCCCCCGCCGCGGAGGGTTGTAGGACAGAGGGCACAGCTGGAAGCGGGCTGTCCGGACCCTTTACCCCGCCCCCGCTGCCCTCTACCTGGGGTGCTGGATGCGAGCTCTGCGGAGCTCCTCCAAGCATAGCGGCAGCGGCTCGGCAGATGTAGATGCGTGTGTGTGTGCACATTTAACTCTTTCTTGACTCCTCGGATTTGTACCATGCTGAAGATCCTCACCAAAAAGCTCAGGAACCAGAGTTTGAATGAAATTCAACCTTTTCAGCTAAAGGTAAGAATAACCGGTTTGGTCTTGGTTGTTTGTTTTTTTTTTTGCACCCTTCAGGTAACTAATAACGAGGCCTTGAGAAGCTGGTAGCTTGCAGTGTTTGTTATGCTGAGCCCGTGTGCTCAGTAGGAACTGGCCTAGGCTTTATTCTTGTTACTGAAGTCCTGTTCCTTTACTCTCAGAGCTATGCTGCACAGTTTGATAGTTAACACAGAAAGGTAGATAAAGGTGGATGTATCAGTCCGTTCTTTAGAAGTAATTACTTTTAACGGGGTTCATATTTAATTACGTAGACATTTGCCTGTCTGTCTAGTTACCTTTGTATGTGTGCAGTCCATAGTCTCCCAGCCAGGCTAGGACTCCACTGTGCTAGCTAATGTAGAAAGACGATTTGCCTAAAATGCCTTTCAGCTTCTTATTTGCATTTCTCTCCCTTATGGTCCTGAAGGCTGGAATCTGAGCTGAAGTTTGCAGTCTGGCTCACTGCATTGACCCATGACTTTCCAGACTCTGCTTATGTCCTTTCTTAGTGCTCAAAATAAAAATGAGGCTTACAGATTCAGGATAAGAAATGCCCTTCCTGCCAAATGCAAGGAAGAATTTTTGAGCCATATGCAATGTGAGTTGTGATGAGTGAGTTACAAAAATCACCAGATCCTGATTTGCCAAAAGCGTTGTGAACCGAGGGATATCTCCTGAAATCAGCAGAGTTACTCTGGATTGGTATCAGTACTGTGGGAAGCGTAGCGTCTGGCCCTAAATCGAAGAAGGGATCCGGGAAAAGTAGCTGCCCTCATTTCCCGAGTTGGGGGCTGGGTATCCATATACCGGACTCTCGAGGAGTCTTTTGTATGTGTTACACAGAGGCGGATTGCCGTGTGGCTGCACTTCTGTGCAGTTACTCTGGACAGGCTGATGGCAACTTTGTCAGAAATAGTGCTGATGTTTCCTCAAAGTTTGCTGTGTCTGTGTGCTGCTTCCTGTGAGGATTACATGTTCTTGCGGGAGGCAGGGTTACATTTTATTTTTGGAAATAAGGACAGTGCTTTAGGTTGTAGTGGACCAATTCAGTGCAGAATGCCTCTGCAGAGGCAGTGGGGGATTTATTTTGAACACTGTTTCTGGGCCCTGTGGCTGTGATTGCCTCCTTTAGCTTTATTGTTTGTCTTGGAGCCTTGGGTTGTGAAATGGTGAGAATCTTTGGAAGAAGCTCTTAAGGGTATATACAGCCTTCAGGATGCTTGGAGGCATGCATGAAAACCTGCAGGAGTGGATATCTGCAGCCATTTTGTTCATATTAGTGCCGAAGTTTTGTGATGCAAACAGGTGGTCTGCATTTTTGCAGGCTTAATAGAGAGACTTAAGCTTGCATTGTTTCTTGCAAGGCTAATGCATAGACCATCAGAGGTATTGCAGCAGCCTGCTGTGGGGAGTGGTACAATGACTGGTATGGGCAGAATGCCAGACTTTTAAACTCTGGGTTTATATATGTTTTGTAGGCCTTTGGGGACCATGTGCAGCTGCCTGGTCTTGGTTGAGTCTCATACCAGCATAATAATTGCTTAACAAAGCATGCAGTGCTCTCCTAGGTGTTGAGCCGGATCCCCTTGCAGGTGTGAACACTGGATAGGTGTTACAAGTGGTGAGCAGTGTGGGAGCTTCCCATGGCTGTGCTGTGCGTGGGCCCTGTGACAAGGCTGAGTGTCCTGTACTATCTGCCCCTGCTGCCCTCCAATGATGTGGGACTGCTGGGCACAGACTGGACTTCCCTGCTTTCTGAACTTCCTCATGTTGGTCTGTGTCTGTGTGGATCTGTATGTATTCTGCCATGTGTGCTGTGTGCATTATTTAAAAGGCCCAGTCTGCTGTCATTGAAACCTAGTGAAAAGTTAGTTAGATGTGAGCATAAAATCAGGTTGGGAGTAGTGTAAGGAGAGAATAAGCAACTAATTTGAATACAATAAGAACTGATCTGCATCCACCACCCAAACAAAGAGCTTTTTGAGCTTTAAAACCAGTGTGCTTAGCTGCTCTTCTTCACTACCCACTTGCTTTTGCACTTTATGACCTTTGTTGGAAGTTCCCAAATTCAAGGGAAAGCAAGCTGCTGTTGTGTTTTTAACTTGCAACAGTACTGCCATTAGGCAAAGTCTGAAGAGACTGTCCTTGGGTAAATTGTCAACTCATTTTTGAAAACCTGGGAGATTTGACCAACCTTAGATTGGCATCCAAGCTTTGGGAAGCTTTTCAGGATGAAATTTCTGCCCACTGTGAACATCTCATTTTGGTACCATGTGTTCTTAATTGGTTTAGTGTGGCTGTGATGGGTCTTCCTAGGCCTCCCCCACTTGGAGAAACGGAGAGGTTGCCCTTATCTCCTATAAGTGAAACCAGAAAGTATGCAAGCTTTGAGTATTGATGGTACAGACCTTTCCTTTTTTACTTCTATTAAGGCTGGTCTTCATGCAGGTGATGACTAAGGCTGCATAGAGGGCTTTGACTCAAGTGGTCTGCTGGTTCGTGCTGGTTTTGCTGAGGAAATTAGTGTCCCTGTATTGTCTTTTCACCAAAAGCTACCACAATGGGAAGGGAGAGATTAGTTTCTGCTAAAGGTGGCTGGGCTGTGGAGCATGGTAGTCAGGGTTCATATTTGACCCCTTAGTGTTGGAAGGCTGGTCCTGCTGACCTTGCTGTCTCCTTACTGGACACTCGTGCCCCTGTAGTGAGGGCAGCTAAGGGGCAACATGTCCACTCCTGAGCTGCTGCGGTTCATAGTCCAGCCCATTGGCTTAAAGACCCTTCAGCTGCTGTGGCTAAATCCAAGAAAGGATTGTGAATTGGAGCCTTGTGCCTCGGTCTGTTGTTCCGCCTCTTGCTTCAATGGTCTGATGTTGTTTGCTAGAGATTAGGCCAGACTTGAAAACCTCCAGTTTTTTGGCCGGCTGTTAGAAGTTGAGAACCAGAAGCAGATCTGACTTCATAGTTTAGGACTCATCTTTGATAACAGCTGGCAACTGGGTCTGTTCCAGTACAGACTTTCTGGGACAGGAGAGAAGAGTGAGAACAGGGGGTTGACCTGTACTACAGTGAAATGCTTCACATAAAGAAAGTGAGAGGCCTGTAACTCAAGGATTTTTGATTGGTTGTCCAGTATTACAGCCTAGTACAGTTTTTATTATTCTTTCATAGTTTGCATCTGGTAGTCCTGAGAACCCCTTTATGAAGTAAAATTGTTCAAGGAGCTTTTAAGATGTGTATCCTGGGGTTGCATGTGGGTTTATGTGATGGAGTACTGATATTGAGCCCTTAGAAGTACTCTCCAACCTACTCAGTGAGCTTTATACAAATGTAACGTCTTGTTCATCCCTGTAACTTGGGGCAGGGGTTTCTCACACAAATACATTTCTTCCAAATCCCTCTTCAACTCTTCTGTCCTTGTGTATTTGTGTAGTGGCTGTAGTATAGGTGTCTATTTTCTAAGCTTTGCTTGCAAGCAAGCTACTTGGGGCAGGGAGCATCTGGTTGGAACAAGTCTGTGCATTGCCAGTCAAACTAAGCCCTTAATTAGTGGCCCTAGGTGTTATCAGAATGAAACAGTTGGATTGTGGTGTGTTAAAAAATAAACTGGCTGGAACATGTAGCTGAAGAAAGCTGAGCACTTTAAGCTGAGCAACTTTACTGTTGACACAAACAACTTTGGAGGCAATACAGTGGATGTTCTAACAAAAAAAAAGTTGTTAAATTACTTATGGACTTGGCATATTCCTTTTTGTCCTCAGCAGAGGTAATTAAGGCATGTTTGTCATTTCCTTAATGTTGATGAATGAAATGAAGTCATGTGAGACTGTTCTGGTGACAGAAAACTGCATTTCTCTGCTACATAATTTTAGCCTTATTCTTGCTTACAAGGGAACTGGGGACTAGACACTGACAAATCCACTGTGTTGGCTCTCTTCATGCAGCCTTGCAGCTTGTACATATGTGTACATAGTGCTGGGGATGAGCAGGTCATGTCAGTTATTTTCTGCTGGCATCTGCATCTAGAATCAGTTGCGAGACTCTGGTCTGGCTGGTCAGCCCTGATGAATGACTGGGAATCATCTTGATTCTTCCTATATGAAAAGGGTTCAGTTGGCCATGCAAAGTGAATCTTGGGCTTGGAAGCAGTGACTTCTGAGTCACTGTCCCAATGGTAGCTTGTTATTCTGCAGAGCCAGGAGTGTGTTATTTAATTTTTTTCTCTTCAGACCAAAAAAAAGTGAAGAGACATCATTATTATTGATGCACAGTGGGTGTGCTTTCAAAGATCTGTGTAAGGGCTGATGCTTTGTGTGAATGAGGACAGATTAATTTCCTTCTTTCTTTGGTCTGACTGTTTGTCATGTGCTCAGCCAGCCACTGGGCTGAAGACAGCTTGGCACAGTGAGAATTCACCCATCTCCTGTGCTGTATGAAGGTGTTCTCTCCTTCATGGGATTTTCAGCACATCCCACCAAACAGGTTCATTCCTCTAGGGATGGAGGATTCTGTTTTACATTGCAGCTTTGCTTTTACTCCTATAAATACGTGGTAACATTAGATGCTTCTGGTTTGCATAATCTCAGTCAGGAGGGGCACAAGCACTTGCATGAATGCAAGTGTGTAAGTACAATTTTGGCTATTGGAGCAGCTATGACTATGCCTAAAGCTAGGCTTGTGATAATTTGGACTAAAACTATGTTAGTGGGTTAGAGATGCTGTGATAGATACTTAGCCAAGGCAAAGAATAGAACAGGCAATCCCAGCCACTCAGAACCTTTTAAGTTTTTGAGACTTCTGCCTAAGGCATTGTAAAATAATAGGTTTGCAGTTCTTTCTACTTGGCTTCTAAGGTCCCAATCTTCAAAGGTTGTCATCTTTGCTGTGCAGGCATCAGCACTGAGAATGTCCTGTAGTGAGTTTATTCTGGAGAGTGGAACTTCAGACAAATTGCAGATATTGCAAATATAGCATAGTGGGAAGTT